ATCATCCCTTCAAACAACAAAGATGCTCAGAAGACTGAAGACTCCCATGGAGGAGGCTGGCCCAGGTTTAAGGGAGAAACCTGAATATTAAGGACTGCACTATCCAGCGGGGGCAGAATTCCTGTTTAGCAGAGCACTCAAGTACTTTTCTACTTGCCTTAAGCTCCAATAACATCTAGGAAGGTGACTAATATTAAGCAAATGTGTAAAGGGTTTGCTGCATTGGAGCCTATAGAATCACCATTATGCATAATCTATCTGGCTATGTCTACACTGGCATCCTTTTCCGGAAATGCTTAAAACGGAACAGTTTTCCGTAATAAGTATTTCCGGAAAAAGCACGTCTACAATGGCAGGATGCTTTTCTGGAAAAGCACTTTTTACGGAAAAGCGTCCGTGGCCAATGTACACGCGCTTTTCCAGAAAAAAACCCCGATTGCGAAAATGACGATCGGGGCTTTTTTGCGGAAAAGACTACTGGGCTGCCTACACTGGCCCTTTTCCGGAACAGTTTTCCGGAAAAAGGACTTTTGCCCAAATGGGAGCAGCATAGTTTTTCCAGAAAAACAGTGACAATTTTACAGTAGATCGTCATTGATTTCCAGAAAAGCAAGGGGCCAGTGTAGACAGCTGGCAAGTTATTCCGGAAAAGCGGCTGCTTTTCCGGAATAAGTAGCCCAGTGTAGACACAGCTGATGTGTTTACAGAAGTTTGAGCCAGGATACCTCACACCTCTTGAGATGGGGTCCTTAGGCCCCTGGATTCCAGCCCTCTCCTTAGACTGGTTCCTTCATTATTCCAGCCCAAGACTGCCCCTTCCCCCAGCACGCACTTCCTTTGTCCCATCTCTTCCCTTAACCAGTAGAACCGGTTTAGCCACTGTCCTGATGCTCCTATTGCTGGGCCGTGCTTACAGACAACCGCCAGAGGACGTCCTCCGAAGGCGCGTCTACATTGGCCACAGATGCTTTTCCGGAAAAAGGGCTTTTCCGGAAAAGCATCTGTGACCAATGTAGATGCTCTTTTCCGGAAATACTTATAACAAAAACTATTCTGTTTTAAGCATTTCCGGAAATTCATGCCAGTGTAGACGTAGCCTGGTGCTATTTCGGGATACTTCTGGTATCCCGAAAGAGCTATTCTGCGTCTTTTGAACAGGCCTGCTATTTCGAAATATAACGGGTTCACTATTCCGATGTCCCTGTAAACCCCATTCCACGAGGAGTAAGGGACGTTTTGGAATAGACGTTTTGGTGCTGTGTAGACAGCACCAAATTACAAAATAAGCTATTTTGAAATGAACTCGAAATAAGCTACCCAATTTGCATCGCTCCAACTGTGTAGCTTATTTCGAGCTAAGGGTGCAGTGTAGACGCATCCTAGCGGGGCTGTGAGTTTAGACCATAACTAACTTTGACTTATAATCGATCCTAGCGGGGCTGTGAGTTTAGACCATAATCTCTTTCAATCTATCATTTGGAGCCCATACATTTGTTTTACTATTTCTCCTTGTGGAGTGAATTAGCCAAAAGTGGGCAGTCAGCCTCCTAAGGTTCACTATGGCGGGGGTGGATCCACTTTCGATCAACGAAGTGGAGAACCAATTCACTAATTTGCACTGCTCATCTGTCCTGAACTCATCAACCATGGTGTCCTCAGTGGAGACAATAGCGAGTGTCTCCGCCCCACTCACCCCACACTGCATCCTTCCAACCTGAGCTGTTCCCTGCTCTGGGGGTGTTTTGCTTCTATGACGGGCTCTCAGCGTCTCTCCTGGCTTCTCAGCCCTTTTCTCCCCGTGTGTAGATGCTGCTAGAGCATGGGAGCTTTGGGACCTGGCAGTGCATCACTGGGCTTTCATCGTCCTGGTGCTGAAACATGACCTGACCTGGGTTCACCAGAGAGGGGGAACCAGCCAATATCCTCTACCGCACTAGCTTGCATTAAATCTTGAACACCCACAGGCAGGGACATCATAGAATCATAGAACTGGACGAGACCTCAGGAGTCATCACGTCCAGCCCCCTGCCCAAGGCAGGACCAATCCCAACTCAATCAACCCAATCCCAGAAAGGTGCGGGGCCTGGGACAACTCCTTCGTTTCCCCACTTCCTGTCCCTATCATCTCTTCCCTTTTTCTGCGTCAAACTTTTATACAGAGTCAGATGGATTTATCTGAGGTTTTGGTCCCACTGGATCTGTGCACCAGGGTGCTGTGTCAAGTCCCTGTATCTGAGCCTTCCTGGATCTGAGCGTCTTCTCAGGGTCTCGTTACTCTGTTGGGCGGCTGCTACCCCAGCTCTGTGCCTTTGCTGGGGGGAAACCAGAGCTTCTGGCTCAGCAGAACAGGGTGGTGGGGTACCCCACAGGATAGGGAGGTGTGACGTAGTGTGGGTACCTTGCTGGGGCTGTGGGCGACCTCTGCTGCCCTGGCTGGGGGGCAGGGCTGGAGGAGAGTTAGTTAGTTTCTGTCTGGGAAGCAGGGGGGAAGGAGCTGGGGAGGGCGCTGGGATTTAGGGGCCCAGCCACCCTCCATCTCAAGGGGGGGGGGGCACTGAGGCCTCCTAGCCCCAGTTCCTATAACCGGATTACATCTGTGCTGTGCTGTATCCTGTAGAAGCAATAAACTCCCCCTATCCTACTGGTTGGTGGAGTCTGTTCGTGCCACTTCGGGGGTGCAGGAGACGAGAAAACCCCAACACGCCGTCACAGGAGGTATAATTGGTCAGAGGTATAATCGGTCCATCGGGTGACATCTCAAGGGGATGGATCTCTGCGACCCACCCTGGGCTGAAAGAGACCTCAAGAGGTCATCAAGTCCAGCCCCCTGCCCAAAGCAGGACCAATCCCAACTCAATCACCCCAGCCAGGGCTTATAAACCTCTAGGGATGGAGAGTCCACCACCTCTTAGGTAACTCATCCCAGTGCTTCACCAATAGTTTTTCCTGATATCCAACCTAGACCTCCCCCACTGTAACTTGAGACCATTGCTCCTCATTCTGCATCTGCCACCACTGAGAACAGCCTCTCTCCATCCTCTTTGGAACCCCCCTTTCTCGTAGTTAAAGGCTCCACTCCACTCCACTCCCCCTCACTCTTCTTCTCTTGTGCAGAAATCAAATCCCTCAGCCTCTCCTCGTAGGTCATGTGCTCCCGCCCCCTAATTATTTTGGTTGCCCTCCGCTAGACCCTCTTCAATGCATCCACATCTTTTCTATAGTGGGGGCCCCTGAATTGGATGCAACACTCCAGATGTGGCCTCACCAGTGCCGAATAAAGGGGAATAATCACTTCTCTAGATCTGCTGGCAATGCTCCTTCTAATGCACCCTAATATGCCATTAGACTTCCTGGCTGCAAGGTCATACTGTTGACTCATATCCAGCTTCTCATCCACTGGTCCTTTTCTGCAGAACTGCTACTTAGCCAGTTGGTCCCCAGCCTGTAACAATACTTGGGATTCTTCCATCTCAAGTGCAGGACTCTACACTTGTCCTTGTTGTCACAAGAGACAAACACTAAATGCTTTTCAGCAGGGCCTGGAGTAATGTGAGACTACCTGGGAATGAGACAGCCAATCCCCAAAGGAGGATCTCAGGGACTAATGAACATTCTGCTAATGAGAAAGGGGGCAGAACATGTAAGGAAGGCTACAATTTTGTTACCGAGGTCACAGAAGTCACAGAATCGGTGACTTCCAGAAATCTCCATGACTTTCACCCCTGGTGGCTTGGAGTTTTGGGGCCTTTTTGCTGTCCATGGTAGCTGAAAGCTCCCCTCTACAAGCTGTTGAGGTACGGAAGAGCTCCAGACCACCGTGAGTGACCCCAGAACTCTGAGGGTCCAGAGGTGGCTGGTGACCCATGGGCAGGGGGAGTCCACTGAGCTCCAAAACATGATCCTTGCAACCGCCCAGCCACTATGGGACCCCAGCAGCGATGGGTACTAGAATCTTCCACCTCCCCTGTTGTCACAGACATTATTAGAAAAATCCACAGACAGATCACAGGCTTCCGTGGACCACTCGGAGGCTACGTCTAGACTGCAGGCTTCTTTTGAAGGAAGCTTTTCCGGAAGAGATCTTCCAAAAAACTTTCTTCTGAAAGAGAGCGTCCACACTGCCAAAGCTCATCGAAAAAGCGATCTGCTTTTTCGAAAGACAGCGTCCACACTGATTGGATGCTCTCTCGCATTTAAGGTGTGATTCCTGTGGACAGAGTGGCCACCTGTGCTTTTTCCTCTACTTTCGAAAGAACTCCCTCTTCCCCATCCACACACGCCTTTCAGAAAAAGGCTCTTTCTGAAAAAGGTTTCTTCCTCATAAAAAGAGGTTTACCAATGTCGGAAAAAAAAACCCTCCGTTCTTTCGATTAAATTTCTTCCTCATAAAAAGAGGTTTACCAATGTCGGAAAAAAAAACCTCCGTTCTTTCGATTAACAAAAAAACAAGATTGCAGTGTGGATGTAAGTTAAGTTTTTTTCAGAAAAACTGCCGTTTTCCAAAAAAACTCCTCTGCAGTGTAGACATACCCTGGGGCTTACTGAAGATTTCCATGAAAAAAAATCTTAGCCGCAAGCTTCACAACCTGGTGAAGGATCACAGAGAGGTGCTTGCTGCTCCCTACCACATTTCCTACCCCAGAAGGAGGCGGGTGCTGCAGAGGCAGAGATGGGATCTCTCGGCTTCCCACAACACGCACCTCTGGGAATCTGCCTCTGTCATGCTGTGTGAACACAGAGGCTAAGAGGGGGAGTGAGGACAGGCAGCGGCTCTTATCCCCTGATCCCCAAAAGCCTGAGCAGCCAGCGCCCCCTGCTTCCCAGCCCCATTCAATCCACCGTTTCCTCCCCATAGCTCATCAAACTGCCCCATTACTATTGGAACCCTCAGATCCCGGTGCCGGGGGTATTCGCAGAGGGGAGTGGCCACCGGAGACACTCCCTCTTCAGAGAACCGTGGCACGTGGGTAGGGGCGCCTAGCCCAGGGGCTGGTGGAAGATGGCGGAGGGGGACAGGTGACTAGGGTGAAGGTGGGGTCTGGCCCTAGTGTTCTCCTCATTTCCATGGCAGGGGGATTGTGGCTGGGAAAGGAAGAGAGAGGGAGGGGAGGGAACACAATAAAATAAGGCGATTATCCATAAAGAAGATCATAAACTTCAGAGACACGCATAGACAACACATTATTATACCAACGTTTTATCTATACGTTAAACATTTCCTTTTGATCTCTGAAATGAGAGAATACAGCCCTAGACGGGAACAGTTTGATTACACTGTAAAGCTCTAACACGATGTAAGTAAATAGAGTCAATACAATTATTGGCTGAATGTCTCTAGTCGCGCAACATCCTATGGAATCGCTCCCCACTGTGGATTCTCTGATGATTTATAAGAGGGGCTCTCTATATGAAGCTTTTCCCACAGACTAAGCACTTATGAGGTCTCTCTCCTGTGTGGACTGTCTGAGGAGTAACAAGGTCTGACTTCAGTATGAAGCTTTTCCCACAGTCTAAGCATTTGTGGGTGCCTCTCTCCAATGTGGATTGCCAAATGTCCAACAAGGAAACTTTTCAGCCCCGTCCAAACACTCATGGGGTGTGTCTGCTGTGTAGGCAGCCTGACGTTTAACAAGGGCTGAAGTCTCTGTAGGTAACTTCTCTCGCAGGCTAAGCACTTATAGGGTCTATCTTCTGTGTGGATTCTCTGACGTTTAGCAAAAGTTTTACAAACTGTTCCCACTGTCCACATACTTGTGGAGTCTCTCTCCTGCATAGATCCTTTGATGATTTTTAAAAGTCAATCTCCATAGGAAACTTTTCCACAGTCCAAGCACTTTATGAGCTCTGTGTGGTGTGGATTCTCTGATGTTTAACAAGGTATGAACTGTGTGTGAAACATTTCCCACAGTCCAAGCACTCATGGGGTCTCTCTCCTGTATGGATTGCCTGATGTCTAACGAGGCCAGACATCCATAGAAAACATTTTCCACATTGTGAGCACTTATGGGGTCTTACATTTGTGTGCAAAATTTGATGTCTAACTAGGTCCGACCTCCTTATAAAACTTTTTCCACAGTCTAAGCACTGATGGGATCTCTCTCCTGTGTGGATTTTCAGATGTGAAACAAGGGCCGACTTGACCCTGAATTTTTTCCCACAGTACAAGCATTCGTGGGGTCTCTCTCCAGTGTGGATTGCTTGATGTCTAACAAGGTCTGACCTCCATACAAAACATTTTCCACATTGTAAGCACTTATGGGGTCTCACATTTGTATGCACTCTCTGATGTTTAACAAGCTGTGACCTCCATATGAAGCTTTTCCCACAGTCTAAGCACTTATGAGGTCTCTCTCCTGTGTGGATTTTCTGATGTGAAACAAGGGCCGACTTGACCCTGAAATTTTTCCCACAGTACAAGCATTTGTGGGGTCTCTCTCCAGTGTGGATTCTCTGATGCATAACAAGGTCTGACCTCTGCATAAAACTTTTCCCACACTCAAAGCATTTGTGGATTCTCTTTCCGATGTGAATTATCAGATGCCTAACAAGGTCTGACCTCCGTGTGAACCTTTTCTCACAGTCCAAGCACTTATGGGGCCTCTCTCCTGTGTGGATCCTTTGATGATTTGTAAGTGTTGATCTCTGTATGAAACATTTTCCACATTCCATACACTTATGAGATCTCTCTGCTGTGTGGTCTACCTGATGTTTAATAAGGGCTGAACTCTGTATGTGACTTTTCTCACTGTCTATGGATGCACGGGTTCTCTCTCCTGTGTGGATCCTTTGATGATTTATAAGACTGGATTTCTGTATGAAACTTTTCCCACAGTCTGAGCATTTATAAGGTTTCTCCCCAGTGTGGCGTCTCTGATGATTTATAAGAGTTGATCTCTGTGTGAAACTTCTTCCACAGTTCAAGCACATATGGGGTCTCTCTCCTGTGTGGATTCTCTGATGTTTAACAAGATACGCCCTGAGTGTGAAACACTTCCCACACTTCAAGCACTTATGCAGTTTCTCTCCTGTGTGAATAGCATGATGTCTAACAAGCTCTGACTTCTGTATGAAACATTTTCCACATTTGAAGCACTTATGGGATCTCTCTCGTGTGTGCAATATCTGATGCTTAACAAGCTCTGACCTCCATATGAAACCTTTTCCACAGACTAAGCACTTATGAGGTCTCTCTCCTGTGTGGATTTTCTGATGTGAAACAAGGGCTGACTTGACCCTGAAAGTTTTCTCACAGACTAAGCATTTGTGGAGTCTCTCTCCCGTGTGGACTGTCCGATGAGTAAAAAGGTCTGACCTCCCCCTGAAACTTTTCCCACAGTCTAAACATTTGTGAGGTCTCTCTCCAGTGTGGATTCTCTGATGTTTAACAAGGTCTGACTTCCGTGCGAAACTTTTCCCACAGTCCAAGCACTGATGGGGTCTCTCTCCAGTGTGGACTGCTTGATGGGAAACAAGGGCTGACCTCCATTTGAAACTTTTCCCACAGTCTAAGCACTTATGGGGTCTCTCTCCTGTGTGGCTCACCTGAGATGTACTTTGTGCTGAGTTTCCATTCAAACAGTTCCCACTCTGGAGACATTGACAGGGTTTCTCTCCTGTGTGGCTTCTCCCACGGTTATTAAGGTCTGAGCAGTTACTGAAGGTTTCACCATGGTCAAAGCATTGAAGGGGTTTCTCTCCAGGATTGATTGTCTGAGGTGTCTCAGGGTGTGATCTCTGAATGAAGCTTTTCCCACACTGCAAGCATGGGGAGGGTTTCTCTCCCTTGGGATCATTCTGCTGGGCTGTGGGATCTTTGTCTCCTCCTCCATGTTTAATAGACTCATCCACTTTGCACCTTGTGTGGTTTCCCAGCAGCCTCTCTGAGCTGAGCCAATTCCCCCAGGCTTCTACTTGCTCCAAGCAGTGAGAAAAATTCCCTTTAGGTCGTCCCACGGAGGTCCCCTGTGAATCCATTTCCCCCGGAACTTCCGTCGGTTGATTTCCCTCTTCATTCTTACTCCGTGACCCATCACCTGCTGGGAGAGAGAGAGACAATCCAGGCAGGCGTCACTGAGCTGGGGAGAAAGAGGAACAGCATCCAGGGAAAACCCAACCCACTGAAATTGCACAGACCGAGCAATGGGATTCTGTCTTCACTTCCCACACAAATGCACACAAGGAAAGAAAGTTGGAAGGAAACTCTCACCACTGTGCATATATCAGCTGACAGCAGCCTTGTCCTGCGTGAGAGGAAGCAGATCTCATGGAACTTACTTACACCGGTTTTGGGGGATTCTCAAGTTTTCCCCTTCATTCCCCAGCGGCTTTCTGTGTCAGTCCTCACCTGTGCGGGTGCCTCTCCGGATCTCTCTTTCCTCTCTGGCCTGGAGATTGGGCACCCAGGGCTCTTCCCCTCGTTCCAGCCGGGCGATCAGCTCAGGTTTGGGAACAGGAAACCCTGCGCAGGGGGTGAAATCAGAGCAGATCAGGGCACATGGAATACTGAGAAAGCGTGTCACAAAGCAGCAACCCCACTGGCCGTGCCGCTCAGAGGGAACTGAGTGGTTTCTCCTGAGGGGAGGACCCCAGAATGTGGAGACAGCCAGGGGGCAGTACTCATAGGAAGGGATGCTGTTGTCTGGGAGGGATGCGGGGCCTGGCATGGAAGAGACAGAAAGGCCAAGAAGTAGCAGATGAGACCCTGCCGGAGGAGGGCGCCCCAGGCTACGTCTAGACTTCAGGCTTCTTTCGGAAGAAGCTTTTCCAGAAGAGATCTTCCGAAAAAACTTCTTCCAAAAGAGAGAATCTACACAGCAAAAGTGCACTGAATGGATGCTCTCTTGCATTTCAGCTGTGATTACTATGGACGGAGGGGCCACCAGGGAACCTGTGCTTTTTCCTCTTTCCTCTTCTTTCGAAAGAACTCCCTCTTCCCCATCCACACACGAAAAAAGGCTTCTTCCTCGTAGAAAGAGCTTTACCAATGTCAGAAAACCCCCTCTCTTCTTTTGATTTTTTTTTCCTCGCAAGAACCTGATCGCAGTGTGGACGTAAGTGAAGTTTTCTCAGAAAAACGGCCGTTTTTCCGGGGGAAAAAAAACCCTCTGCAATGCAGACATATCCCCAGAGGGGATAAGAGCTAATTCTTGGACTGGCCAGCACGAGGAGCAGCTATAGGTGTTTTCAACACATCCACCTCACCCCAGGACACACGGCACAAACAAACTTTCCACGTCCACCTCTCCCCAACGACAGCACCCACTCTTCCCCCCCGCCCCGTTCCCTACCTACTCCATGCAGTCAGTCCCTTACCCCTCCCCGCCTTCCCACCCCAGGAGGTTTGAGGAGAGTGCTGAGTTTCTGCCTCAACATCTCTCTCTCTCCTCCCACAGACAGGACTCCCCAAACTCCCCTCCCCTCCAACTGCCCCCAGCCAATTACTCCCTCCCTCCCTCCCCACAAACTCCCGACCCTACAACTCTCCTGCCAGCCACTTAGTCCCTCCTTCCGCCCTAAGGATGTTAAAATACGGCTATCAGGCTAATCATATAGTCGACACAATTTGTATCGACTCATCAGACGATAGGACTGCTCTGCAGGGCCACAGCAGGGACAGCTCCAGGAGCCAGCTCAAGCTAGGACTGAGCAGTCCTGGCTCACGCCAGCTCCGGGAGCCACCCCTGCTGCGACTCTGCATTTTAAATGCAGAGGTGCTATAGTCGACACAATTTGTATCGACTCATCAGACGATAGGACTGCTCTGCAGGGCCACAGCAGGGACAGCTCCAGGAGCCAGCTCAAGCTAGGACTGAGCAGTCCCGGCTCACGCCAGCTCCGGGAGCCACCCCTGCTGCGACTCTGCATTTTCAATGCAGAGGTGCAGGGATCAGCACGTGCCAGGACCGTCCGGACTGCTTGGGGCTCTCGTACATTTCAAAGGCTGAAGCACCACCGTGGGAACTGGTGCGTGCGGGGACGGCGTCAGTCCCCACGGGCGCTGTTTCCCCGCAGTGCCCCTGCTCCCCACTCACGGAGCCGATGCTGGGGGAGGGGAAGGAGCCGGCTTTTAAGCTGGCTTCCTCCAGCATTGGCTC